AGATTAGTGGTGGCTCCAGAGGAAATTCTGCCATTTTCTACCCAATTTAGTCAAGAGGCCCTCCTCATCCAGAGCTCCAAGACTGTATAACTGTTCCATGGCAGAAATCAGGGCTTGAGGGGCAGGCGGATCCATAAAATCAAAAGACAAGAGATCATTTATACCCATGGCCTTCATGTTGAGAGTAATATGTCCAAGATTGATCCTTTGGATTTCTGGAATTGTTGTTGGGGACATCTCATTGCGGTATGCACTCTCAGTATATAGACGGTAACATTTCCCAGGCCCTGTGCGGCCAGCACGCCCAGCCCGTTGCTTGGCTGATGCTTGTGAAATGGGAGTTATCACCAATGATTCTAGCCCTTGCTTTGGGTTATAAACATTTTGCTTTGCAAAACCAGGATCAACGACGTAGTATATCCCATCAATTGTCAAAGATGCTTCAGCAATATTTGTTGCCACAACCACTTTCCTCTTTCCTGGAGGGGCAGGTTCAAAAATCCTAGATTGCATTTCACTAGGAAGAGCACTATATACTGGCAAAATAATAAGCTCAGGAACGTTTTTACCCAGTCCTTTCATCCTCTCATAAAGAGACTGGCATGCAAAATCAATCTCTTCCTGACCAGTCAAGAAGAGGAGGACATCACCTTCAGGCTCTGTCAAGTGAATCTGTAGGACAGTAATCAGAGCAGCATCTAAGTAGTCACTTTCTGGCTGCTTGGTATAAAGTATCTCAACAGGAAAAGTTCTTCCGGGGATTGTGAAAATATTACAATTGAAAAAGTACCCTGAGAACTTCTCAGCATCTAATGTAGCTGAGGTGACAATCAATCGAAGGTCAGGTCTCCTTTTTACAAGATGTTTAAGCAATCCAAAAAGGACATCAGTGTGAATTGTTCTCTCATGAGCTTCATCAAGCATGATAACAGAGTACTGAGAGAGGCTCTCATCAATAAGAATCTCCCTAAGAAGCATACCATCAGTCATGTACTTGATCACAGTATCTGGTCCAGTGCAATCTTCAAACCGAATTGCATACCCAACTTCTTCCCCCAAGCGACAACCGAACTCCTCTGCAACTCTCTTAGCAACAGACATTGCTGCTACCCTACGTGGCTGAGTACAACCAATCTTACCTCTTGTGGTGTAGCCTGCTTCTGCAAGGTACTGTGTCACCTGTGTAGTCTTTCCGGAGCCTGTCTCACCAATGACAACCAGGACTTGGTTATCATGCACGGCCTGTATCAACTCCTTTTTTAATTTGTAAATAGGCAAGCTCTGCCTCTGCTCCTGGATGGAGAGCTTTGATCTCTGCCCAAAAGTTAGAGCTTTTCCAAATGCATCTTTCTTCCATTCGGGCATATCATAAGCTGACAAGCCAACACCTCTAAGCTCCTGTGCAAGATGCCTCTCACCAGTTTCTGGCATTGGGTCCTCCCATGGTCGATTAAGATCTTTTGGAATTGAATCGAGCATGGTTCTCTGCTGCTGTTCTCGCACTTCCCTCCTCTCCTTTATGAGTGCAGATTGAAGTGCAGCTGCACGACTCAACGAACCTTCAGGATTTTTGAATATCTTCACTGGTGACATATCAACAGAATATCTGGTTTGCCCGTGCAAAAATGCAGGCTCATCTTCATTCAACTCAATCTCAAGCTCCTCCTCAGCACCCTCTTCTTGATAGAGCAATCCATCTCCATCATCCTCATACATTGGATACTCATCCACCCTCAAGACACCAGAGGCAATCAACTGCTTCGCCTCCCATCTCTCGGGCGAACTCATTCTCTTCAATGGCCTGCGTGATGGAACAGTATTGTTTTCCTCCATAATCGAAATCCCTGAAAGCCCAGTTGTAGCCACTGGCCCCTCCTTGGACCCTGAAGGATTAGTCCTAAAGGCATCATCATCTGAGCTCCTCTTCAGAGGAAGTAAATCCTTGCCAGTCTCCTGATCAACGTCCCTCATAGAAAGACTCAATTTCTGACCCGAAACAGAAATCACCTTCACATAGACCTCCTGATCCCGCTTCACAACATCTTTAGCATTACTAATCCTCCTAGTAGCAATCTGCGAGACATGCACCAGACCCTCCTTCCCTCTCAAATCGTTCAATTGCACGAAGCAGCCTGTGTCCATCACTCTTGACACCCTCCCTTTGTACACTTTGTATAGTTCGGGTTCATTTGATATGTGCCGCCTATTGCTCCCTCGATCCTCATCTTTGTCAGACTCCCTTCTATCTCCATTCTCCTCATGTCCATCTCTTCTATGCCTATGCCTATCCCTGTCCTTATCCCTTCTCCTATCATAATCCCCGTCATAGTTCCGGTCTCTGTGCCGATCTAATCTATCATATCTATCTCTATGTCTGTCCCTATTCCTATAACTGCTGTCTCCGTCTCTTTCTCTTTCCCTGCCTCTGTCTCTACCTCTACGCCTATCTCTCGTCCTGCTCTCTCTTTGCCGCTCATGGGCTTC